AGGATGAAGCTCTCAAAGGCTGTAGTCACACATGCTAAATAATCCACTTTCAATCCACTTTCCGTGCACTTTCCAACTGGATCTTTACTGTGTGAACTGGCAAAATCCAGTTGGAAAGTACATTGAAAGTGGATTGAAAATGGATTTAGTGTGTGTGACCGCAGCCAAAATGATCCTTGGTATGAGAATACAACAGGAGAGTTACGAGGAAGAGGAAGAGGAAGAAGGAGGAGGAGGATTTATACCCCATCCTTCACTCGGAGTCTCAGAGCAGTTTACAATCTCCTTCCCTTCCTCTCCGAACAACAGACACACTGTGAGGTAGGTGGGGCTAAGAGATCTCTGACATAACTGCTCTTGAGAGAACACCTTTGTCAACTGTCTCCACCCCATGCATCTCCCTTATAAATAAAAGCCGAATGGTGGTGGCACTTCTCTAGAACATTCCACACGCTCCAAAATCAGTTCGCTCTCTGATCTGTCATTCAGAGGGTCTCCCTATCCACTGGCTGCTTTGGCTGAGTCCTGCCTCTAACATTCTAAACATTTTGCAGTTCCTCTCCCCCCCATAGCCAGTCAGAACACAGAGGTTATTTGCATATGCAGCCTCATTGGCCTCTGCCTCGGAACACAGAGGTCGTTTGCATATGCGACTTGATTGGCTTTTGCCTCTAACATTCTAAACGGTTTTGCTGTTCTGAGATAAAATGTGTCCAATCTCCAGGTGAGGGCTGGAGATCACTCAGAATTCCAACTGCTTTCCAGATGGCAGAGATCAGTTCCCCTGGAGAAAATGGTGGGCTCTGTATCCTTATATGCTGCTGAGGTGGCCCCCATATGACAGCCAATGTGACGTAGCAGTCAGGGCTTCGGAGCACGAGAGAGGCTGCAGGTGTGTGGGGGGTGGAAAGCTGAAGGGTGAGGGGGAAATAAAGGTAGGTTGATGATTGGCTGGTAAGGAGATAGGGTTGCCAACTCCAGGTGGGGAATTCCTGGAGATGTGAGGGATGGAGCCTGGAGAGGGTGAGGTTTCAGGAGGCGTGGGACCTCAGACAGGTACAAAGCCATAGACTCCACCCATCAACTATTCCCTTCTGGGGAACCATCATTACCAATCTCCAGGTGAGGGCTGGAGATCACTCAAAATTACAACTGTTCTTTAGGTAGCAGAGATCAGTTCCTCTGGAGAAAATGGTGGACTCAGTGTCATTATACCCTGCTGAGGTCGCCACAGCAAATTGACACTGAGTGTCCAAAGCTGGGGCACCCGCCCAGAGCCTCTTTCTAGAGCTTGTTGTATTTATTTCCACAACGGACCTTTTTCCTAGTAATTTTATAAACCTCTACTATGTCCCCTCTTAGTTGTCTCTTTTCTAAACTCAAAAGTCCCAGACGCTTCAGCCTTCCTCATAGAAAAGTTGCTCCAACCCCTGAATCATCTTGGTTGCCCTCTTCTGTACCATTTCCAGCTCTGCAATGTCCTTTGTGAGAGGCCACACCACAGATCTATACAGGGGCATTGTAACATTGGCTATTTTATTTTCAATTATTTTTATTGAGCTTGACCCTGGAAAGAAATTTTTCATCTATTAATGCAGTGCACATGCTTGCTTAGAAACTCCACCCCTGAAATTATGTACATCTGTATACATCCAAACAGCATCTGCTACTTCTGCAGCTATATCCACATGCCATGATAAACTCAGATACATACCTAATCTTGCCCACATCTGATATATGGGATCTGAACTGTAAAGTGCCTCTTCCTTTCAGCTTCCCAGTGTCCACACTGCTTTTAACTGAAATGGATCCAAGCAATGATTGGTATAGAAAGCCTGAATAATACTGCTAAAAAGAATCAGTTGGGTAAGCTAAGAAGCATATCTCCTTCCATTCATGAAATCATTTAGTTGCAGTAAGCTCAGACACAGCTGTCCGTATTTTGTACGGAAATGGAGAACTACTGCAAGATGATGAGAGAGAAAAAGTGTAATGGAATCACTGTGAATCTTTGCACAACAATCAGTAACTACTGAACCCAGAGCAAACCAAGGCATGCTTTTATAAAACATGTAATGTTTAGTACAGCATGTTAATATACTTTTATTATGTGCTTGTCTTAATTCATTCCATTCTTTACTGTTTCTCAGACCCACATTTAGGGTTACTGACAGGTCTAGAGAAAAATGTCCTTTCCTTTCAATAGAGACTTAATGGAATATTATTTACCACCATGCCATGAAAAGCTAATTTCCACATGTTAAGCCTCTATTAGAGGTACAGGGCATTTTTTGTCAGTCCTGTGGGCAACCCTGTATTATATATGTGGATTGTTGTTCTAATCACCTCATTTGCTTTCGTATGAAGTGTGAATTTCTAGGCAGAGTTCCTTCCAAAAGTCCAGATAATGTCCCTGCGTCATGCTAGGAGTTCAAACAGCTTTCTGTCATTCTCATAATAAATCTCCCCCAATGTGCACTCTGAACTAAAGATGAGATCAGAGCTATTAGAAACATGCTTGCTCCACCTCTGGGGCTGGACATCTTATCATTAGTGACGTGAAACAATGATGTCACCTGTATCTTGGGGTATTTCTGGAGGATGAAGTGCCTTGTAGAGAGGTTCAAGCAGGTGGAAAATAACTTATGGTTTCCTAGAAGAGTGTCCATCCACTGTAAGTCTCCTTAAAAAAAAATTATATCTCACAGGCAATGCAATTGGGAAGGGGAAAATAGTTATAAGGGAGGGAGGGTCAAGCTTTGGAATTAAAAAGCTGAAGGCATTTATTGAAACAAAGGAGACTGAATTCAGTTTTCTTTTTCAATTTTAATTTTCGGTTAGTAAAATCCAAAGGGGCCTAGCGCTAGCTGTAAAAAGTATGTAACATTTATGTTGTTGCTGTTTTTAAAGTGTGTGATGTCTCTTTATTGGAGTAAATGTTGATGGGTATATCTTGTTAATTCTGCCAGTCACTTCTTCCTTGTTGGCACTTCACTAATTGCTTGCCAGGTGTGATGTTTACACAGCTGAATGATGCGTAGCTGGTCTTGCTGGCTATATTGCTTACTTCTCTGAAGCAGATGGAACATCACTGAAAAGCTGATATTTTCAAGGATGCAACAAAATCCTGTATGGTTAAAATGCCATACAAGTGGAAGCTTGTTAAACCCCTGGACTACTAGGGAGACCCATGGCTGACAAAAGATGCAGTCCTGCTCCATTAAAATCAGTGAGAACTTTGCCTTTGACTTCAAGTGGAGAAGAATTTCACGCAAAGATTTCACTAATTTCCTTCTACACATTTTACCTCATGTCACCACACGCAGTCTTGGGCATGGGAAATATTTATTAACTGAGCCATCACTACCAAGCGGAATGACAGAATAGGATTTACAGCTAAATTAATAGGATTAAGAAGATTTAAGATAGGGCACTGCTATAGGGACATCATTTTAATCTAGCAGTTTCTACTACTCTCTCTACTACACTAGCATATTAGCAGGAATACTAATTACCTCTTTTTAAGAGTACTGCTGTGAGAAATAGTACAATGCATGTAGGGCCTCTCTCTGATAATTTCTGGAACATTTCAAATCACACCAGCGTTGAGTGGTTGGTAGCACTTGTCCTCTCCAAAACCTGGCAAGGTGTTTCTACTAGAGCAATATAATAGTTCTCAGCTGCTCATGTGGAGTTTGGGGTCTGGCTCTGCTATAAAGCATATTAGCCTAAACCTCTATTTTGTCTTTCCATAGAGGGTCAGAGGTTATGAAAGGAATGGATTAAGCACACAAACCCTCCTTGGTTACAAGAGAAGCACCAGGGAGGAGGAGGAGAAGATTAACCTGGAAGCCAACCCGGAGGTAGATTGTCATCTGACAGCCATCAAGATAAGAACATTATCGTGAACAGATTGCATTAGGTAAAATTACCCATTGACGCAAGTGAAGTCATTACAAAATGGATTAATTCCTGCACTGGATAGGGATATTGTCACAACCAATTAGAAAGCACTGAATTTGAAGCTCAAGGGGAGGAGAGGAAGCGAAGGAGGAAAAGGACATTCAATTACACAGCAGTTTTCAAGTCAAAGAGGCACAATTTCCCTGCTAACACCGGTGGTAGTTTGCTTATCCCAGGACTGGTTTTCCACTAATTACAGGCAAAATTAGTAGCAGAACTACTGAGAGGTAAGTTACCAAAGGATTTCATAAGAAGTATGAAGATACCAGGCTGTCTAAACTGAACCAGGGAGTTCTGTTAGACACTCCAGTGCCAGTGAAGAGGTAGGATGAGAAGCAGAAACGTGTTTATTCTGTCATATAGAGCACTTAACAGGTCTGCATAGTTAGTGAAGGACATTATTGAATAAATCAATACATCTGGGGTTGGAAAGCATGTTTGCTATACTGAAAATGGTTCATTTTAGTCTTTTAAGCCCACTGGAACTGGCTTGCTAATTAAAACCATAGCCAGAACTGGGACACTGATGTATCTTATTTCCTATCTAGACAAAAATATCTTGATAATGTAGTACAAAAAGTTTGGGAAGAACAAGTATAATAATTGTTGATCTTTGCTATATTCCTTTTCCCTTCCTTTTAAACATTTGGTCAGGTAGGAAATCATTAATAAGTTTCATTTGAACCTGAACTCATTTTAGCTTAACACACGTCAAACAGCTACAAAAGCTTTCCTTGGAAATGAGCGCAACTTATTGTGAACCCTCATAATGGTATCCTTCCTCCTTTCCTGAATGAAGCCATGGGCATACTGAAGAGTAAGGACAGTGCCAAGAAACTAGAGATCAATTACCTGGAAATAGCATTGCACCCCAATCTTTACAGCGTTTAGTAATTTGGGGATAAATAAAGTAAGGTAAAGTCTTACTGCGTGGCAATTGTACATCTGCTTCTTTTCCAGATTTGTGGGTTTAAATATTTGGGCCTGAAAATCTACTGGTGTTTCATTTATTCAGAGGAGTAAATCATAAATTTCTAGTGAAACAAAAGCAAGCTGCTTGGAGCTACATTGTGGATGTCTGATTAAACATGTAAGTTGGTAGTTGGTCCTTGGTATTCTAGCTGAATGTTTATCACTATAATTCATCTCACTAACTATTTTTAGATGCAGTTTTGTAACTCTCTGTGTAGTAGTTTAGATACACAAGCCAATATTTAGAGACTAAAAATCTTTATGGGGGGGGGGAAACCAAGCAAGCCCCTTTTTGTTACATCTTTAAATCAGAATTTTTGAGGACAAGTAGTCCTGTTTATGTTTTTAATAGATTAAAGGCTAAAAAAAATCTAACTATTGCAGGGAGGATGGGAGAGAGAGCTCATATTAAGAGATTACTCAAGGGACAGAGCGTGATGCTGTTATATAAAAAGTTTTCCACACCACTCAACTGGTGCGAGGTTTTTTCCTTGCTTCCACCTGATATCCTCCATTTGATCATAGACTGCTAATAGCCCACTTCTTCCACACACATAAAATCTGCTATATTTTAGATGGCTTCCACATAGGAATAGCATTATGTGGTTCCCCTTTGCAGGTGCAGCCACAGACAAAGCACAGCAGTGTCGGGGTTTCCACATGGCAGGCTTCACTGCCCCAATCTTCTAGAGTAGTGGCCCCTTCTCCTGGGCCACCAGGGCTTTTGCAATTTTTGGGAAATAATCAGTACTAAAATATTATTATAGCAATATACCCTTGTAACTACAGGTGTAGCAAGTTCTCTGAGTTCCTAGATTTCATTTTGTTAAGAAGCCCCTCTGTCTCTTAGGAAGACAACCATCTTCCCACATATCTCTGCAATTGAATGAATAGAGACTAAAATAGGGTGAGCGGAGAATCCTGAGAGTTACGTTAGAACACGGCAGACTGGGGGATTTAATGCATATCGAGTGCGACAGAGAAACCTTGACTAAAAATGTAGAGGTGACAGATTACTCTGGGCTGCACGAAATCTCCGTTGCAAGGGCAATTTCACACAGAATCGCATCAGCAACCAGAAAGCCAACAAAAACAAAACACCCCGGTGTGGAAGCACTCCAGCAGTGCTGTTCTGAGAACCAGTTTAAGGGGAAAGCAAAGTCTCTGGATGATATCCATGAGGGACAGAGATACATGCAACAAGTGAATTTGTATGTGTCTCCCCTATTTGGGGGCTTTTTAAAAAATGGTAATCGGCATTCAAACAATCTATTGATATGCTCTGCCAACGACTCTGAATTCCCGGCTTTCATTTTTTAAAAAGTAAGTCTGTACCTCTTTTTGTTGCAATAATATAATGAGAAAAATGTATCCCTTACATCTCCACAACAAAAAATGCTAGAGTCTTATTATTTTAAAGCTGACAATTCAGAGTCCCTAGCAGATTGTGGCAATATCATTATAACATGATTCTTATATTGCAGCAGCACAACTTTCAATTTTTATATAGACATTGGGGCAGGGGTTTAACCACAGGGAACTGAGGCAATGAAAGTACAAGGGAAAGTACCATTTGGATACTCCATTGCTGTTGCAAATGCGTCTTCATTTGCAGTGACAATGAGAGTTACATGAAGAATCAGCTCCATGAGGAAGCTTTAGTTTCCAGCCTTAGTTTCCAACTCTTATATAGCATATGCCATCAAAAATTATAACCTACGTATATATCATCTTCTTCTGAATTTAATTGACTGTATATATTTGGCCTCTAGATATACTGATCTCAAAAAGCAGTGCCTCAGTGTTGCTGAAGAATGTCTGAGGGGGACGCCGCCCCCGAGGAAAATACCCTCAGTGCTCCAGCTGCACCACCGAAACAAACTGGACCCACCACACCACGCAAGGGCCCCCCCAAGTTCAAGCAAAGGCAAACAAGACAGTTCAAGAGCAAGCCCCCTAAGAAAGGAGTAAAAGGGTAAGAAGAGTGGTTCAGAAGTTAAATGATTAATTAGCTCATTAATACATTACAAAACTCTGCAATATCAGACCATGAATAAAGGCCAAGTTGTATTTCAAGCTGCACATGCCTGAAACTATATATCCAGGGGATGCTATATGTCTTCCGGCAACCTATACAAAAATATACTAAACAGAGCCAGTGCCTCCAGTTGTGTTGGCAGAATGCAGATATGCAGTAAAGGGGAGCACAAGTTGTTCAAAAGAATAAAGTCATTTTATTAAGAAGAGAAAAAACTATGTTAGAAAGAAGAGAGAAAAAGAGAAGTCTAAGTGTCTAACTAGCTAAGAGGAAATCAGCAAAGAAGCAGCTCTCAGCAGGAGGAGGAAAAATATATCTGAGCCAATCAGGAGACAGGAAGAAGACTATTTGGAAATAGCAGGAAGTCCCTAATCTCTCTATGCTGTTGGATGATCTTGTCATCTTCTTTTCTATGCATGATAGACCTTGCATATTCCGACAAGTTGTTTGCAAGAACCTTATTTACTAGAGTAAGGAGGGTGAGGAATGAGGAAAGGTCCTCAATGAGAAATTAGAAATGTTTGGTGTAGTGGTTAAGTGTGCGGACTCTAATCTGGGAAAACCAGGTTTGATTCCCCACTCCTCCACTTGCACCTGGCTGGATGACCTTGGGCAAGCCATAGTTCTGGCACAGCTGTTCTTGAAAAACAGCAGTTTCTGTCACAGCTCTCTCAGGGTGTCTGTTGTGGGGAGGGGAAAGGAAAGGAGTTTGTAAGTCGCTCTGAGACACCTTTGGGTAGTGAAGGGTGGGATATAAATCCAATCTCTTCTTCTTCTTCTTTATGGGTTATAGGAGTGTATCCAGGGGTCTTGTTGTAGAAAAAGAGCTGCCGGAGCTCATTAGCATAACTCATTAGCATAACTTATTTGCATATGCCACGCCCCCTGACATCACCGGAAGTGACAGAAGGCCACACCCCCTGACATCACCGGAAGTGTGTCAGAAGGCCCGGCTACTTACCCTCCTGCTTCATCCTCATTCCCAAACGGAATGAGGATCGAAGCAGAGGGCGGGGTAAAGAAGGGGGCGGGGCTTCACCACGTGACCGCCCCGCCCCCTAGAGGTTCTCTTCCGGAGCTCCGTACCTGAGAGCTCCCCCCCGACTAGAGCCCTGAGTGTATCGATGAGTCAGTGAGACAACATAAAACAGAGCTAGGATAATGTATATGTTAAGGGTCAAATACCTGTCCCCTCTGCTGCCCCCTGCAGGATGTTCTTGTCATTTTCTTTATGTACGATAGACCTTGCATATCCCAACACCTTCTCAAGGTTGAGTGTGCAAAGTCCACAAAATACATCTTCTTTCATAGTATCTCAGATTTCTCATGTGGAAGCAGCTTGGTAAGTGCATCTGCAGTCATATCAACTGTAGCACAGTACTACAATTCAACAAGCCCTTCCTTCTGTATCATATTTGGTTTTGAAGACCCTTTTGCATCCTCCAGGAAAGAGGGCAGTAGGATGCAAATGTTTGGTTTTTGATTAGGTATTCAATCTCCTCTTCTGCAGCCTTTCTCCATCTTTCTGCTTGGCTGATAGGCATTCCTTTTATGTCTTCCCATTTGAAAGGTTTTGTTACAGCCTCTGTCTTTGTCAGGTAGGAGAATCTTCATGGTGGTACTTCCTTGTTTCTTCCAGTTGACCATGTTACCTCTGGCACTGCAGCCCCTTCTGGTTCTTGTGGCTCTGCAAGTGTGTCATCTGTATGGTCCATGGTTACAGTGTTTCTGGTTGCTATGCTTTATTTTCTTCTGTTGGTGTGGATTCTCTGATGTCTACTTTTTCCTCTATTTGTAGATTTTTCTTTCTCATCAATGTAGACTGTTGCAGATTTTTACAGTTTCTATTCTTGGGTTAAGGATTCTATACCCTTTACATCACAGTGCATATCCTACAAAAATACCTTGTTCAGTTCTCTGATCCATCTTGGTCCCTTTCTCCTTGGGGATGTAGGTGAAAGCTCTTAACCCAAATACTTTCAAGTGGTTCATGCTAGATTTGTGCCCATATCTAGCACATATGGTGTGCTTCTGGCAGTCTGTCCTGCAGATTGGTAGCAGTGTTATTTCTCCCCAGTATTTCTCGGGTAGCTCTGCTTCAAGCAGCATGCATCTGAACATCTCAGTCAGGGAGTGATTCTTCCTTTCTGCTATGCCATTTTGTTCTGGAGTGTATGGGACTGTAAGCTGATGCTCTATTTCTTGTTCAGTTAGATAATTCATGTCATGTCCCACATATTCTCCTCCACTGTCAGTGCAAATTGCAGTGGCTTTCTCTGGAATCTGTTATTGACCATTGCAACATAGGACTTAAATTTCTCCAATACTTGACTTTTCTCTCTGATCAGGTAGATTACTGTATACTTTGAAAAATAATCAATAAAAGTTAGTATATATCTGTTCCCACTAGATGTCTTCATTGGAGCACAAACATTACTATGTATCACCTCCAGAGGGCCCTGTGTCTGGCTTGTCTAATGATGGCTCTTACTGAAACTAGATCTGGTTCCTTTAGCTTGAATGCAATGTATGCAGTTTCTTTCAACAGTACACTTTTTTATCTGTATGGCCTTAGTCAAGTTCTGGCTTTCAAGTTGGCCCATATCATAATTATCTCTATGTCCTAAACGTCTATGTCATAGCCAGGAAAATTTCTTGTGATTGCAATGTTCAGCTAGGTTTGCATTTTGCATACATGTCTCTAAAGCATACAAGTCCTGATGCACTTTCCCAGTTGCAATCAATTCTCCCTTTTGCTTAATAAAACATTTTTCTCCAAATGATATGACCATTCCTCTTTTTGCAAGTACTCTTATAGAAATCAGGTTGGTCACTAATTATGGCACATACAGGCAATTTTCAATGAGGGCTTCCCTGAATTGTCCATCTGGGAGCTTGCATTTTACTGTTCCTGAGCCAACCGCTTTTGCCTCATAGAAGTTGTAGTTATTTCTCTGGGGAAAACTATAGTTTTGTAGACAAACATATAGCCCTCAGTCTGTGTCAGGATGCCTTCTCATGTTCTTGACCAGCACACAAAGCAATTTATGTACAAAAGCTCGCAATGCCCAGCCATTTCATGTTTTCCCCATGGGTCCTAGGCTCAGAACACTGAGCATGAGATTTCTGTAATGAATGTCAGTAAATCAAAAGTAGGTTTGCAGCTTACAGATACACACCTGAACAGCATATTCAAGATTGCTACAGCACAGACATTTTGATGCAATTATTATTGATGCAATAATTCAGAGCAAGGTGTCAGTTATCAAAGAGTGTTAAATAAACAAAATATTGCAGAAGTGTTAGTGTTTTAAGAATGTTTAATTTAAAGTTTTAAAAAATCTTTAATTGTGTTTGTGTCCTTTATAAAGTTTATATCTCCGCTACCTCACATTACATTACATGGCCTGGTCCAACAAGGTCTCCTTTATGTCAGATCCGGCCCTCATAAAAAATGAGTTCGACACCCCTGCCTTAGCAGTTAAACTCATATCAGTTTTATGAGTCTGTATAACCATTTCCAATGACTAATGATATAATAATAATTTGTTTTTTCATCGTTTTTCATGAGATGGCATAATGATATTGGGTGACTTGCCATGTTTGATTCAGATTTGATGACTTGCTGATGACAGACACACTATGATGATATGATTCTGAAGCAATAGTCCAATCATGTCAGTCATATTTCTTAGGAGGCCTTCGCAATCAGGGTCCCAAAACTGTTTGGCCCTCCTGGGCCACAGAAAAGCCAGAGTGCACTTCATTACTCATTGAAAACACCACACTGGGAAGCTGCGAAGTGCTTGTGTATCTCCAGAAGAAGAGGGAACCCTTCTTCTCTGGCCCAGTCCTCTCAACTGTTTCAAGATAAAACAGGACCAATCCAAATGCAAAAACTTGCTAATGGAAAGAGTATTGGAACATTCAAGAAATGTTTAGCATTAGAAAAGTTCTTGGGTGAGCTATTATCTTGGATGTTCCCATCTGGATCTTAAATTAGAAAAAAATACTTATATTTAAGTAGACTTTTCTCTCTGGTTTGTGCCTTACCTCTCCTCTCTTGTCTTTTCCACAGTTTTGGAGATGATATCCCAGGAATGGAGGGACTTGGAACAGGTAGACTACATCGGATATTGCTTTTAGGCATACCTTTAATGGGAATAACACTGTTGATAATGTTGGCAGCAAACTGGTGATCTAGTCAAGAAAAGATTCCCTTCTCTCCACATGATCCATGTCTGAACTGTTTTGCTAAGTCAGACTACTTAGTCCAAGTTAGAGCTAGCCTAACATTTTGTTCCTGTCAATAGCCTGTCAGATACTTTGGAGAAACTTGGGAATGGAAACAGCTGTTGTTTTTACCAGTTTCTGGTAATCCAAGGCATATTCCTCTGAACATAAATGTTCTATTCTTAGCTTTCTATTCCTACTTGTTATGTTCACTGTGGCAGGCCATGGATAGCAAATAAAGTACAAGTATAGCAAATAAAGTAAAATAAAGATTATACACACAATGATTTAGGAGAGTTCAAAAGTGTCCCTGCAGTTTTTAATTCTGCTATTCCCCATTTGGGTATCAGAATACATACCACAAAAATGGAATTAACGCAAGCTATAGATGTTGCTTGAATAGCTATCTAATTTTGAAACTGATTTTTTTTACATCAAGTGGTTCTTCCTGTGCATTGTTATGCACCCTCTGTCATGTGGGTATACCCTTCCAAGAAAATTCAAAGAGCAGTTATAACTCTCAAAAAGCAGTTATAACTCAGTGTTTCTGCACTGAGGGCTTCCTTCAAATAAAAATTAAAGAAGCTTGTCCATCTGGCTATGTGTTGGTGTAATAAGTCTTTTCTCCTTCTCTCTCTTGTAGATATTACAGTGATCTGCCCCTGGGAAGCTTTCAGCCATCTGGAGCTTCACGAGTTGGCACAGTTTGGAATCATCTAATCCACAAAAATTCTTGTCTCCCCTGGAGCTCAGAACAGCGTTTATCACCTGTGACACATTTTTACATCTCCATTTGAATTTTGACATTGTACAGAACAGGTGGCTTTGTGGGTATGGGCTAACTCTGAGCAATTTTCTTCTCAGGTTACCTTTCCAAGAAATTAGGAAAGGATGCTAAAGATCCAACCTGGTTCATCATCTTGAAAGATTCCAACATTTGCCTGTAAAATACCCTGTACTTTCTTCTTCCTAAAATTCTCCATGTATGCAGTCTCCCACTGTAGTCCTAGATTCCTTTGTGCATAAAAGCCTCATAAGTACAGCTCTAACTACCTATTGTGCCAGAAAGACTCAGGAGCCAGCTAAGTTCCATGGGAAGTAATAGAAAGAAAGGGACCACTGAACAGTCATATTCTTAACCACAGGTATAGTGTAGCTATTATGCTCCTATTGCTCTAATACAACTATACATGAAAGCATTGCATTTTAATTTCTCTCTTCTCACATCTTTTCATAAAGCTTTCCTCAGCAGGTAAGAAACTGTTTGCAAGAAGCTACCTTATCTTATGGAGGTGGGAGTAATAAAGAGTGCATTTCATATATACTCAAGGGCATTCTTACCATTGTTTGACTGGAATTAGTCATTGAAAATGGTTCTCCCAAATAAAGTTCCACTTTATAACTAAGATCTATCTAGCTCAAGGTTTTCACTTGATCCTATCACTGGATTTAATTGGCAGATGTTTGTTAATAAAATGCAGAAGTATTTTAGTCAATCAGCAGCAGCCAGCTCTGAAATATCAAAAATACAACTGCTTTCTATTCTCAGTGACTGTAGAATATAATAAATTTTCAGACAAAATCAATCCATTGTTAAGATCTATTTGCCATTTTTTCAGCAAACCATATAGAATACAAATGACATCTTTACTATGTAGTCAAATTCATACAATATCATCATATGTGAAGATAAGTGTCTATTTTAACCCCACCAGAAGGCAGTTCCATGATGCTCACATAATAAAGTGCGCAAGGATACATGGGGATGCATTTTTCCCCCTTCAGTCATGTATACCCAAGGAACTTATCATGAGTGAAGCAACTGATTATTGTAGCACATGAGAAAATCCAGTAGACTGCATACAACTAAGAACATACTTTGTAGACTGACTTATTTTATTGCTCTCTCCCATCCCGCACCCACCCTGCAAAACTGGCAATCTGACTGTTGGGAACTGACTAGAGTTGCCAGGTCCCCCCGGCCACTGGCAGGGGATGGGGGTGTAGGGTTGCCAGATCCAGGCTGGGGAACCCCTTTAGATTTGGGGGTGGAGCCTGGAGAGAACAGGGACCTCAGTGGGCTACAATGCCATAGAGTCTACCCTCCAAAGCATCCATTGTCTTCAGGGGAACTGAGCTCCGTAGTCTGGAGATAAACTGTAATTCCAGGGGATCTCCATATCCCACCTGGAGGCTGGCATCCCTAGGAATGACAGTTCAGCTCACTTGAAATGTCCCTGAAAAAGTCTAGGGTGAATCCTTAGTTCTTGATCCAGCAAAGGTATTGAGAAGAGAGGATGATGTGGAGAATCTACTGCATGATATTCAGAATAGCCAGGGCCAGCCGGAGGTTTTTTTGTGCCCTAGGCGGGGCTACCTTCTGGCGTGCCCCCCCTTTGCATGCCCAATTATTGGGTTGCCAACCTCCAGGCGGGGCCTGGAGAGAAGGAAGTCCCTGATCTGCTGCAGCCGGTGGCGGGCTCTTGGCCCGGGGGTTCAGTGCCTCTGCTGCCGGGGGCCGGCCCAAGTACCCATCCAGGCGGCTTGTGGGGAGCCACTGGGACTGTCCTTACCTGGGTCTGGAGAGGCTGGGGAGTGGGGCGGGCATGCTCCCCGAGCAGCGCCGGGCTTCTCTTCTGCTCCGCCTTCCAGCGGAACTCCACGTGACTGGATTCTCCTCCCCCAACAGGCGGTCTGCAGGCCTGGGGAGCCACACGTGCTACTCTCTTCCCTTCCTTTGGTGCCCGGTGCCGAGGCGGAAAGTGAGGCATGCGGAGGGGTGGCACGTCAGCGGGGGAGGGCGGCCGGGTGGCTTCGGGAACTCCATGTGACTGGATCCCCCCCCTCCTTCGACAGCCAGTCAACAGGCCCCAGCAGCCACGCGCACCGCTCTCTTCCCTTCCCTGTGCTGCCTGGCGCCGAGGGGGCCCAGGAGGCGGAGAGCAAGGCGGGCGGAGGGGTGGCGCATTGGCAGGGGAGGGGGGGCGGGCAGCTTGGGGCTGCTGGCGGTGGGCCAGTTGTCGTCGTCGTCTCACCGGGGGTCTGCGACACTGGGTCTCCAGGAGAGGCTCTTCCCCACCTACGCCCGAGGAGACCAGCAGGGGGGGCTCCCAATGAGGCCGGCAGGGAGTCAGGCCAGGGCAGCCTTGTGTGCGCAGACTGGCAGCGGCTCCCGGAGTCATTCCTGGCACCTGCTGGCTGGCGGGGTCGGCCGGGGCCAGAACACGCCCCATCCAGGGCCAGGGCGCTCTAGGCAAATGCTTAGTTCGCCTAGCGGGTGAGCCAGCCCTGAGAATAGTGGTTGTTATTTTATAAACATTATTACTCTGAGCTCAAACCATCATAAACATCATTCCTCTGAGCTCAAACTACCATAACTGGGAAAGTACAATATTTCCCTACTAGCTCATCAGTTGTAATAGCATGATATTTATGTCAGGATCCAAAGTTAAAAACATAAGCCTCACCTCTTTAATTTGAAAGGAGACTCCTTGTTAACAGTTCTGCTTCTAGATTTCTGTAAGACAGATGCTAAGTATCCACACAGAAAAAATATTACCTAGTTCTTAAGTACTGGAAAGAGCAGGAATTGTTTCACAGTCATTAATCCTAATAAAGTATCCAGCAACAGTTTTCATGTAATTTTGCTCCTCATTTACTTCATCTTTATTTTTACAGCTACAGCCTCATTGATTCTGCATCTCAGATTTTGACTGTAATGTAATGTAATTTTTAAAAGTGACATATGTTTCTCCATCTTCAGTTGCATTTTCTTGTTTGTTACCCATTTTTGGAAATGCACCCATTTTCATTATGCTTTCTCTGAAACTCCTGGTGTTATATGCCATATATTCCTCTGCTTTGGAATTCTATCTTTTTTTGTACTGCATCCCCAACCACATGGCTTGGAAGTAAATTCCATTTATGAAACAGAGTTTCTTTTCTTCCACATATGTGTTCTTCAGATCATCGCTTTGGTAGTAGTTGTCTGCAAAAAAAGGTCTCAATTGTATTCTCTCTGTCACTCACAGGAGAGCTGAATGCTTGCCTAATAACTTCCTCTGCGTACACAGTGTTTACCAGCATAGCAAAGAAATTGATATTATGGGAATAACAGTTAACTTATCTTTATTGTCTTTCCAGATAATACAAATCCAGATTTTATTCTTAGGGCTGTACT